TGAGTCCTTAAAATATCTCTTAGTGTATAGAAATGACTTGCTTAAAACCCTTGTCCGTGCTTAATTTCTTTCCTTGGATCCTTGAAATTCCCCCTATATAAGGAATAAAAAATCGGGAAGATCCTTGTTAATTGGAAAAAATGACTTTTTTGTCCTTCTTGCTTACTTTTTCCTTCCCAATCCTTCTTTAAAAGAAAGTCCTTAAAATACTTCTTAGTGTATAGAAATGACTTGCTTAAGACTCTTGTCCTTGCTTAATTTCTTTCCTTGGATCCTTTGGGTCTTACATTCGCGGCTTATTCTCATGGGAGTTTAGAAATGACTTGTTTAAGACCCTTCTCCTTGGTTAATCCTCTTTAATTTCTTTCTTGGATCATTTGGGCCTTACATTGACAGCTTATTCTCATGGGAGTTAATTTCCCTCATGTTTGGGGTTTGTGTCTTACATCGGCAGCTTATTCTCATGGGAGTTAATTTCCTTCATGGTTGGGGTGTTATATGAATTTCGGTAACCCAGTAACCCGTGTGCAAACCTACGAAGAGATCCGACCCAACTCAGCGCCACGAATCTGCACGAGAAGAATTGTTTTCCAACGTGCGTCTCCAGTTTCGAACTCACGCCCTCAATTTCGGTGAACCATTTAGTCTGAACCAGCACATGAGGCTTCTTTTTATCCCGACTTGACTCTCATTCAACTATTTTTCGTCCCGGTTTTGATACTGACCTAAACTTAACTTCATTCAGGACCTACCAACAAACTTTCAAGAGATTTGGAGCTCTCAATTAGTAGAAAAGTAAGCTTTCAAGGTCATGCTTCATTTCGGTAAGTAACCACTTAGATTTAGGCAAGTAATACTTGCAGGGATCGTTATGACAAGCTAACATGCGAGCATGATGGACCTTAGGTGGTTAAAACATGTGTAAATAGAATTTAGAATGAACAATTTTGGTGATCATGACATGTACATGATGAATTATGAAATTTCCCCTAGAACAAAAGAATTGAGAAACATGCTTAGTTTAATGTCTTCCGCTGTGTATAATGGAGGATGGGATATTCTGATCTGTTCTCTGGGTGATTGATGGATGTTTTCTCCCCATTAAGCTTGTTTCATTGTTGATTGTGTGTATGATTTATGACATGATTTTCATGCATTAAGGCTTGGTAGGAGTACCTTGTTCAGCAACATATGGGAATGGATAGACATGATTTATGTGCTAGAGATGCTTGATAGATATATATTTCCTAGTTGAGCATGCGTCAAGATCACAGTTAAGGTTAGGGCGCTATAGCTAGTACGGTTTACATGTAGAATTAGAGGATTGACCTATGTACACCCAGAGATTGGTTAAACTGAGAGGCTAACATAGAATGACCTGAAATTGAGAAAATGAATTTTAAACTACATGAATTCCCCTAAGAACCTAGTAGGCCTCAAAGTGTATTGACATGATTTAAGCAGCTGACATGATCACGAAACTAGTTGAGCTACAACTAAGTGTAGAGTCGGGACAGGGTTGACACTATAATCCTGTTAAATCAGTTCTTGAGAAGAACTAAGGACTACATGGTAGTTAGCTCAAGAAATGAACCCCCTATTGAGCGTAGAAATAGGTGAACCTGTAAACCAGTCCTGATTAGACTAGGGACTACGTGGGTAGGTGGAGAGCCCTATTGAGTGTAGAAACAAGGGAACCTGTAAACCAGTCCTTGTTGGACTAGGGACTACACGGGTAGGTGACAAGATAAGAGCCCCTATTGAGAGTAGAAACTAGTCAAAGTCAATGTTGCGACTTCGTAAACCAGTCCTAGTTGGACTAAGGACTACATGGGTAGGTGGTTTAGCATGAACAACTCCTATTGAGCGTAGAAACGAGTCAAGGTCGATGCTGCGACTTTGTAAACCGGTCTTGAAAGAGATCAGGGACTACGTGGGTAGGTGGTTTATCATGAATAGCTTCTATTGAGTGTAGAAACAGGTCAAGGCTGATGTCGCGACGTCATAAACCAGTCTCGACAAGAGATTAGGGACTACACGGGTAGATGAACAATGAAGAATCACTTGGATCATCGTTTAGACCAAAGGAAAGTCGTGGAAACCTACTAGGAGAAGATGAGAGCCTACAAGTAGGTTGCTTACCACCAAAGGAAAGAAATTTATATGGAAAAGAGAAATTGACAGAAAAAAATCCTTATACATTCTTGGGTAAGCTTGAAATGTGAAGAAAGGGACTGCAAGACATCATAATTCACATGCAACAACAGACATACAACATCACCACCAACAGCTAGACTAATAGCAGATTTATAGTAGCAGCATTTCCATGTTTTTGGAGAAAATTTTAAAAGAATGGAGTCGCAAAGAATCTATTAAAAGGAACTAAAATCTACCACAAAACTCAACCACTTATCTATTTATTCTCTCTTAGCCACCGAACCTTCCTCATTATATTTGATTTTCTCATCATTTTCTATTTTTCGATAGTAGTGGCACTCTGTTTTAGTTTTGATTAAGTAGTTAAAATCACCAACACTCGTTTGAATCTTACCCAAAAACTCACTCAATTTCCAGGAATAAAATTAACCAAAAAGATAGATTTCTTGTGGAATAGTTAATTTACTTATTACTTGCTACTTGTGATAGTGTATACTTGCACTTATTTTTGTGAATTTTACATCATTTTATTATATACAACCACAAGCGATCACTAATCTGTAGCGACATCCGGAGGTCAGCGGAATCCCATAGTGTCATGCTCCCCATGAACACCCTGCTCGTCATACTGTGCACATCAACACTCATCATCTCTAGAGGAAGTATCCCTATGCTTATTAACATATAATATGCATGAGGTCCCTCTAAGTCCATCTTATCGTCTCTTCTGACACAACCCTCTAGTCTCACCTCTATGTTACATTAAGTAACACATGCTCGTTGGATATTTATATTAAAATCATTTTCATGCTCTTTGGGTTGTGTCCTACGTCTGTCTATCAACAAATGCAATATGACACTCATCATCATATAGCATGCTTAATGTGGAAAACATCAACATATTAAGACAAACATCATGCAATCATCATACTCATCATATCGCCATAAAGTGCATATAGCATATCAAGTATGTCATACATCAACTACATATATTACGCACATCATCAAGTATCATAATTCATACATCATCATAAATCATACATCATCATATACTAATATACGACATCATACGATACAAATAATACATTATTATAACTCATACAATTTTTGACGTATCTTATAGTAAGATCACTTACTTGATTAGCTTAAGCTGATGTCACAATTTATATTTGATGAAAGTTTGATTTTGTCATATGTATCGAAGTCAACCTATGTAAACCCATGACATCAATGTCAAGTTCAATTCTCTACATTTTACAATAGTACATTTGCTAGACTTCTTGCGAGCATTAAAAACTTTGCACGAGTAGAGTCTTGAATATTATATATATATATATAAATCAATATCCCATTTTCTATTATTACTATTATTTTCTGGCAAATATTTGTCGAAAGAATTTGATGGAGTTATTTTAAGCCCATAAAAAAAAAAATTGACATCCGTTCTTCTTTTAAGAGAAAATGATAACAAAAGTCCAAATAATTGAAACAATATAAAAGCAAAAGAAGATCTAACTTGGGGATAAACTTTTATCTCATACTAAGAGTTCTATTGGTCAATTTTAATAGATTCTTACTTTTTTTTACCATTTTAATATTGATGATCCTAACTTTTCTAACAAATAAAATAATAACAAAAATCTAAATAATTGAAACGGGATGAAAGAAAAGGAAGATCTAACCTGCCCATAAATTTTTCTCTCTTTCCTCCATATCTTTTCTGTTTCATCTTTTCTAAGAATGGATACATCTCTCTTAGTAAAATTTACCATTTTTGTTTTCTTTTTTAGCATAATTGACGATACATTGTGTGGAGAGATGTTGAGGAGAGATATTCCCGAGGGAGAGGTGAGTGAGATTTGTGTTCAGTTACAATTTTATTATTATATTATTATCTTTTTTATTTTTTTTACTATCCTTACATTATAGATGGTATAATGGAAATGAGAAGCACAACAAGGGATGCACATAAGAACTTGCACTTCTATTGGATCTTTGGTGCTGACCATTTTGTAAGCTATTTATTCTATTTATAATTTTTTAAGATTTAATACTTTTTAATTATATGATTATAAATGTAGGTTCCCGTGGATCAACCGTGTGTGACATTAAATATGGTGGATGCAATCACACATCAGCTTCTTGATGCAGTTGTTTTTCATAGAAAAAAATGACATTTACTTTTTCAAATGTAAGAAAATATGTTTAATTATAGATAAAAAGAAAGAAATAACAGATGTATTATATATATTACACACATCATCATACGACATAACTCAAACATCATCATATACTAGTATATGACATCATACGACACCGCTTATACATCATCATAACTCATGCATCATCATGGCTCATACATCATCATATACTAGTATAGGACATCATACGATACAACTCATACAATTTTTAGTCTCTCCTATAGTAAGACCACTTACCTGATTAGTTAGTTTAGGCTGGTGTCACCAATTTATCATTAATGAAAGTTCGATTTTGTCCATTGTATCCAAATCAACCTATAAGAATCCATGACATTAATTTTCTGTTCAATTCTATAAATCTCACAATGGTCGATGTAACGCCCCTAATTTTCTAAACCTAATTAGTGATGTCATCCATGCAAACATAATTCATTACGTGGAAGCTCATCATAAATAACCTTGGAAACAAAGCAAAGTCTTTCACAAAGATTCATAAATCCAAAACAACCTATCTCCAAAAGTAAACCTTCAATAACGGAATTCTAAAATAAATCTAAATAAAGCAATACTCAATGCTATAACTTAAAACAGTCCATGTAAACTCCTAAAAAAAATATCCCATCTCCAACTTCCATGGTTTCTTCAGCTCCGCCGTCAACGTACATTGGCGTCTTGCCTTTACCTAAAAAATGTATGTAGCACATGACTTGAGTATTTTATGAAAAACTGAGTAAGTCACCCTACTGTTGGGTTAGGAATGCAAACACATGCAACATATGAGCGAGACCTAACTTTTCATAAACTTTTCATAGCGTTGGACGCTTTTCTATTCCGGTTAGGGTTGGATGTGTGGTACTCCTTCACACATGGCCCATGTACGTGTACATGGACCCACCAGGCGGGCTTATATACGTACCCCCTGGGCCTAGCTTGGTCGGGCATAACGTATTACACGTCACCAAACACCACAGAACAGAAAAGGGCCCGCATGATATCATGACAAACATAAATATCGTAATTCATTCTTTCATATCATAAAGGGGAAGAATCCCAATGCACGTGACATACATATATGCATGAGGTCCCTCAACATATCTAACATGACATTACATAAGCAGTGCGCATATACCTTTCTTACATTACATGGCATCTCATATGACTTACATTACATGGTATATTACATAACATGAAAGTACATTCCAGTTTCATAAGCATCTCATGACATGACTCAAGAATACTACGTGTATACATGACATAGATCAACTTTTTCATGACATATATTACCAACATATCATTCATAACTTCACATAACATAAACAGTCAATAGTCAACATAATCTATACATTTCATAACATAAACAATCGATAGTCAACACAATCCATACATCACATAGTCATATCACATAAATATGGTGCATGCAGGGGCCACAGGGCACGCACCATCATACAACACATAGTAAACTAACTCCAACAGTAAGATCACTTACCTCGATGGTCTTGGTTGAAGTCACTCACAACGAGATAATCTCAGTGGTTAAATATGTCCTATGATAACCACATAAAAACTTAGGAACCTTTCATAAATAGCTAAACCTCATGCTATTTATCAAAATAAACCCCCGACCTAATCTGTCTTTAATATTTAGGAACCATACTGACGTCGGATGGTAAAACTAAGGGCAGAAACAACTTCGGAAGGGTCAAAAACCTTGGAATCAATATATTAGAGTGATACTGAGTCACCAAGCCGAGCTGCGGGATTTGACGAGCCAAGAGCACGCGTGCGGAGCCGAGACCAAGGCTGCAGCATGTCACGGTCATGCTCGTCCAAGGCATGTTGCCAATGGCCGCATGCCCATGACAAACCCAACCTTTCATGTCTTTTCATATTCTAGTGTTTTACTTTTGTATTTCTAGAAAGTATGACGTTTTAAAAATATCATGTCTAGGTCTGTCAGACATGAAATGCCTCAGAATGTACTATAGGGGGATACGACTAGTTGTCAACTTCTCCCTACCCAAGGTTATATACTGTAAGTTGTTGTTATTTCTCTTTTGTTTGCTTATATTATTGGATTTTATGTCCTAAAACTCATAGTTTGTAAACAAAAACATATTCTATTTACAATAAAGTTATTATTGTTGTTTATTCAGTAAAGATTGTTATTGAATAAAGTGAACTTTATGATCATTAATCTAAATTCAATAAATTAAGAACACTCTGGCTATAGTATGATTACTTGAACTATGTGTAGAGACATAATAGTTGATCAAGTTCAAGTATATAGTCAAAATGATCTATAGTATAAGGATAAGGTTGAGTACCTTATTCTAGGGACACTATGGATGTGACTCACTTTTGTATATGATATAAACAATGTGATCCCTAAAAATGTATATGTGGAGACATGTGAGTGGGGGCGTCCTATGCAATGAGTATTGCATAAGATCGGACCATGAAGAAAATCACTCTCACTTTATAATGTCGTTTACTGTTGAGACTGATTTTCTTTTCATTCGATGACCTAGGTAACTCGATCTTAATCCTGAGCTAACCATGAACTCCTATTTATTCGAAATTATCCTTAGATTTGCATGGGTGAGAGTGGCTCAAGTTTGCCAACTCAATAGGCCTCCCATTTCAGGGGTAAGACTGGGTAGATGGTTGGGGACGTGGGATGCAAGATGGAATTCACTCCTACCCACTTTTAGGGAGAGAAGAGAGGTAGTTCCCTTAAGTACTAACTTCAGGTCTTGAACAAGGGGCCCCACCCTCTCATTGGCCTGAGAGGGATTCGGTTTACTAGTTGGACCACAAACCAATTGTTAACTAGAGGATCAGTAAGACATAAGAAACAAGAAGTAACTTCAGGGGTAAAATGGTAAATGACCCAGCTCTAGTTACGAACAACCTGTGAAGGATCGACTTACTTATCATGGTTATATCAAATGGACAAAAATATATCTATAGTGAGGGGAGTGCAACTACTAGGCTATAGTGGAATGTTCTAGTAGTTAACGAATGTTGGTTAACAAGGTTAATGAGTTTAACTGGTTAATCTTGGATCATTGGAGCCCATGATCTATAGGTCCATTAGGTCCCTCTGCTAGCTCATATCGAACTAAACCATAGAATAGTGTGACGAGTGAGTTCGAAGTGTTCGAATCCAAATTAGGGAGAATGCACTACATATATACGATATATTTAACCGCATTTTTGTTTTATTTACGAATTAAACAAAAAGAGAGAATCTGAGATATTTAAATAAGATTTAAATATCTTAATCAAATATGTGTTGGAATTAATTGGGATTGATATTTGAATTAAAATTAAATATTAATTAAATAGTTTAATTAATCATTTAATATTACTTTAATTTGAAATTAATAATTCAAATTGATTGTTGATTCAAAATGAAGAAAGTCAACCGGTTTACTCCATTTAATGGAAAAATCCATATTAGTGGAATTTTGAGGTGTCAAAATTTTGTTTAACCAAACTTGCATGCTTGCCAAATAAACTCCACCAATTTGAGTGGAATTTTGAGTGTCAAAATTTGGTTAACTCAAGCATGCATGCTTGCTACATAATCCCAAACATTTGAGTGAAATTTTGAGTACCAAAATTTGGTGATCTCAAATTTGCATGGACATGCAAACATGACTCTATAAATAAAGTGATCATAAAACATGAAAGATCTTCTTCTTGGTGAAAAACTTTGAGAAAAACCTCTCACAAACACTCTCTTCATATATACAAAATCCCTTCCAAGTTTAGTCACTCACCGGATTCTACAATCCCATTCTAAGGCCCGGAGGATAGTGGAGAAGACACTAGTGGTGGTTTGAAACTGGTTCGTGAGGAAAAAGAAATTTGAACTACAAAAGGTTAGTATTCAAACACATTAAGTTTTAATACTTATGAACATGCTAGTTATTTACTATAAGTGATGTTCTAAAAGTGCCTAAGATCCAAATTGTTTTCGCATGTGTTATATTAACACCATCATATATAACGTCTCTTTCAAAAATCTCTTTTTCGAACATCTCTCTCTGCTCTCGTTTTCTAAAACCTTCTTTTTAAACCGAGGCCAGAGGCTCGATCATACATCGCTTGACCGTAGGCGACGTAAGAATGAATTGGCTTAGCTCATTTGTCGTTGGAAAGTGAGTGCCGCACAATCGCAAGTCCGCTGCCATTAAAAGTGAGGTTGTGACAAGTAGTATCAGAGCTTTGTAAGCTCTATGAAATAGCAAAGACCGAAAACATGTCGACGACAAAGTCGACACCCAAATCACAAGCCGACCGGCTTACTTTAATAAAGGAGGAAATGTTGTTCCTCAAAGAAGTCCCTAACACCCTCCACTTCCTGGAAGCATGGGTGAAGGAATTGAGTGGAAAAGTCGTAGAGATCGACGCAATGGGTAACCGCCTGGATGGGTTGCCAATCGCAGAACTGATGTTTCGAGTGACCTCACTCAAAGAAAAAGTTGCTCCTACGAGCAGCCCAAGACCATCTGGTACCCCCGATAGCTCTGTCACGCACAAGGAGGGACGTGGCGAAGAGTTCGACGTGCTATAAAATACAATGATGAGTTTGTTCAATGGATTAGCTGGCGAATTCAAAACAACGATCGATAACATCCAAGAAAAGATATCTGCCATGACCACCCGAATCAAGGTGACCATGAAAGCCATGGAAAACGTCTCGGCTGGGCAAACTAATAAAACATCCAACAAACTGAAGTTCTCAGACCCTAGACCTTTTAAAGGGAACCGGGATGTCAAAAAGTTAGGGAAATTCATCTTTGATGTCGAACAGTACTTCAAAGCCACACCGGCTTGTACCAACGACATAAAGGTGACAGTAGCCTCGATGTATCTCATAGACGACGCCAAACTTTGGTGGCGTAAGAAGATGCAAAACATCGATGATGGATTGTGCACCGTAGACTCGTGGGAAGACCTGAAGAGAGAGTTGAGGGACCAATTCCTCCCCGAAAACGTAGACCATCTAGCAATGGAAAAACTAATAGCCCTAAAGCAAACTAGAAGCATAATGGACTATGTCAGACAATTTTCGACCCTAATGCTAGATATCAGGGGCACATCAGAGAATGACAAGGTGTTCTTCTTTATAAATGGGTTACAACCTTAGGCCAAAACAAAAGTACACAAGAAAAAGGTCAAAGACCTAGCTACCGCAATTGCCAGCGCCGAGAGACTCCTAGACTATGGGAACGAAGCGGGTTACCAAAGAAAAACAACACAGGCCCTAAACACTAGGGGCAAAACATATAAGCCGCTAGGTCATCGAAATGGAAGCCCCAACAGGCCTAACGGAAGTAACGACAGACCAAGCGGGTGGACAGATAGACCTCCTCAGAACAACCAAGCGGGGACATCTCGAGGACCTTACCCTCAAAGGAACCACCAGACGACACCTTTACAATGCATATTGTGTAAAGGCCCCCACAAAGTGTCCTACTGTCCTCGTTGGGCCTCTCTCACTGCACTCCAAGTGTCCATTCAAGAGAGCAATGACACAAGAGTCGAGACTATGCTAGACAAGAAGGAAGATCAAGACAACCCCTGAATGGGCGCTCAAATTCTTGTTAGCCCTCCAACGGAAGGTCGAACCGAAGGAGATAATAGAGAAAGTGCTCATGTTTGTGGATGCGACAATAAACTCTCGACCGAGCAAGAGCACCTTGATAGACTCAGGAGCAACTCACAACTTCATCGCCGATCAAGAAGCACGGAGATTGGGGCTCACCATAGAAAAAGACCCGAGGCCTTGCCTATTGTGGGAGTTTCCAAAAGAGTCCCCTTCAAATTAGGGGCTTAGACAGGAGAGCTGAATCTTGTCGTAGTCTGCCTGGACGACTTTGACATGGTACTTGGGATGGAGTTCTTCCTAGAAAACAAAGTTATCCCATTGCCACTGGCGAAATGCTTGGTGATCACCGATCGCAACCCCACAGTAATACCTGCAAGCATCAAGTAGCCAGGTAATCTTAGAATGATCTCGGCCATACAATTGAAAAGAGAACTCGCACGAGAGGAACCTACATTTATGACTATACCACTGATGGAAGAAGTGACCACTGAAGAAACTATCCCAGATGAATCAAGGAGGTACTAGACAGTTATGCTGACATAATGCCAGAGAGCTTACCACAAACATTACCACCCCGTTGAGGCATTGATCACGAAATTGAACTCCTTCCCGGGGTTAAACCCCCAGCGAAGAATGCATACATTTATGGCTCCCTCTGAGCTAGCCGAATTGAAGAAACAACTAGATGAGTTGTTGACGGTAGGATTCATCCGCCCGGCAAAGGCACCTTCTGAAGCCCCCATACTATTTCAAAAAAAGAAGGATGGGACATTGCGTCTGTGCATAGATTATAGAGCCTTAAACAAGGTGACGATACGCAACAAATACCAACTACCGATAATATCTGACTTGTTCGACCAACTCCACGTGGCCAAATACTTCACAAAGTTGGACTTACGATCAGGGTACTACCAAGTACGTATCGCCGAGGGGGACGAGTCCAAGACGACGTGCGTAACAAGATATGGGGCCTTCGAGTTCCTGGTAATGCCCTTTGGCTTGACAAACGCCCCAGCTACGTTTTACACGTTAATGAACCAAGTTTTCTATGAATACTTGGATCAGTTCGTCATAGTATACCTCGACGACATAGTTGTATACATCACAACCCTAGAGGAACACATGGTGCAC